GGTCACATGGAAGTGAGCATAGTCAAATGCAAAGCTTATATATAAAACATGTTGATGGGTAGCTTGTGGTGGTGGTTAGGTACGGATTAGAGGGAGGAGCGGTACAGTCGTTTTTTTAAAATTTAAAATTATCATATATTTTAATTTTTTTTATATAATTTTATTAAAATTTTATTTTTATATTTTTTTATAAATTATTTTTCTCCTAAAATATTAAAAATTCATATTTAACATAAAATTTTTCGTCTATTGTATCTGTCTCTCATTATAATATAAGAGTAAAAATGCATATAAAATGTTGGAAAAGGGCCCACCTCCACATGCAAGAGGCATTTCCTCACCTAACCCATGTGATGTACAGTATACACTTTTATACCTGTATGGACGCGTCCACCACCCCTTTCTCAATTAATTAATTTTCAATGACTCTTTTCAGTTTTAAAATTAATTAATTATTAATATTTTAGTTATGAGATCGATATTTTATTTATTATCAGTGTACTGCTACGATAATAACAAATAAGATCAAAAATATTAAGATTTACGTGAAAATTTTAAAATTACGGATGGAGAAGAGAAATTTATCATAATATTAAAATTATAGGGATTTATGACTATAAGACCTCGTACGAATTTTAAAGTTTTATCTTATTTATACTCGGCAAACTATAATTTTAATCTTTATTATTTATTTATAAGATTAATTATTTGATAAGAAAGAAGTCGAATATATTACAAAAAATTTATTTAATATGTATTTTCATTTTTAAACAAAAATTAATTAGAATTTTTTTTCCGAACTAGATAGACGGCAAAGTTCGTAGACAAGATTTTTATTGGATAATGCAAATAAATAAAATAAATTATTATTTTAAAATAATGTTTATTTTTAAATTTAGAAAATTTTGGGGTGGTGCAATAATTTTATTGTGTTATTTTATTTATTATGATTATTTGTGATAGTCAATATTAATGCTTTTATTTCTAGTAGTCTTTTCCTAACAATTTCATTCTCGAAATAATTACAAAATTTCAACAACAAAAATTCAACTTAACCAAAAATAAATTTATTGTTATATATTGAGACAAATTCTAATTGATAATTAATTTAGATTTTATTATAATTGTAGCGGTTGAAAATTATTTGGTGATTAAGTTTATTTAAGTAAAAGTTCTTATGGGACAAAAATTATTGGCGACCAAGTTTATTTTTTTTCTATAGATATAGAGTATATTTTAACATTTAGGATGAATGAGATAGAATTATTTTAGAGACGTATAATTTGTTTTTGTGAATTTTGTAACTATTGAGGATATGTTATAGAGATGAGTTATATAGGGATATTGAAAAATATTTTCAGATACACTGATTTCGAGGATATATATACTAGGTTTTGAGCTATAAAAAGTCTATGTATTTATACTTTTTTTGTTGAACTCATCAAGTGATCTCAATGATAAAATAGAGTGTTGTTTTGTTTAGAGGACTCGGGTTTGAATAACTAGAGATGGCGACGAGTCAGGTTGGATTGTATTTTTTGGTCAACCCGATCATACTTGAAATATATATACCCTCCACCCCAACTCAACCCAACCCGAAAAATATATATCTTTCACTCAACTTGACCTGATTCGAAGAGCATATTTCCTCCACTCGAATCCGATATAAAATAAGAACCTAATTAAAAAAAAACTATAGAGAGAATGATGTTATAGCAATTATCTATAAATTTATATGACCTGAATTTTTAGAGTATAAACTCAATCCGATATAAAACAAGGACCTAATTAAAAAAATCTATTGAGAGAAGGATATTATAACAATTATCTATAAATTTATATGAAAAAATTACATTATTACTCTAGGGTTGGGTCCGAGATTTTTCACCCTCCACCCGATCCAACCTGACCGAACCTCTATATAAAATCTGAACAGACTCGATCCTAACCCATTTTTTTAAAAAAAAAAAATCTGATTCTATCAGGTTAGATCATGTCGAAATTCGTTTTCGAGATAAATTGTTATCGCTACGAACAACTACGTTTTTCAGGGTGTATGTAAGTTGTCAATAACTAAAAAATATTTTAAACAAATATTACCTTATAATAAAAAAAATCTTTATGATGTCTATGTTTATAATAAATTATTATTTCTATTATTTACAATACTTAATCACATTAAATTTTATTTCTTATTATGTTTTAGTGCATGCAATAACGAAGTTATCTATAACATGGGAGGGAGCCACTCCCTCAAGATTTTAAGCATACGTATTGCAAAGTTGACAAAGTAAACCATCTTGGGGCATCATTTGTTTCACTGTTCTACCTAGCTCATAGTATACGTATTTTGTTTTAAAGCTTTCCAATAATTTACAAAATCTTGTCACATTCATTAAAGACTGAAAAATAAAAATAAAAGATGTTACCATATTCAGCATTTTGAAATATATGCGAATCTATATAAGAAATCATTGGTTGGAAAGGTTGCTGTAATCCATGGCAATGTAGATTTAGTTGATATGATTTGCTTGCGGGGTTGGTTAGGTTGACGGGGAAGTCTAGCCTTTTGGTTCTAATTGTCGCTTAACTTTATAATATAAATCATTAATGGAAGCTTATGGCAAGTAGATTGGAATAAAAGCGAATATTATTACGTAATCAAATATTTTATAAATTAAATTAGGCATATATGCTGTTTAGAAACCACCACCAATGTGGAAACAATGCATCCATATTTTGTGTAAACTGGTAGGGCAATTGCTGCAGAAAGGGTGCAATTAGAGGCCTTAAACTGACAAAAATTTTGATTAATTAAGCAGCCATCTGTCTAATTTGTAATGCAAAATTGGGTCACCGGTCGTTAAGTAGGCCAATGAATCAATGGCGGATCTAGAAATTAAAAAACGGAGGTCCAAAATTTTAATATTCATATTCTAAAAAATTTGGATATACAATTTTTTTTTTATTTTCATTAATAAATTAAGTTTAATATTTTTCTTAAAATAATAGGCGTGCAATAACTCCCATAAAAAACCACGTACATCCGCCCTGCAATGAATTACGCTAACAGAGAAGTTGAAGGGTCATTTCTCTTGTCGTCAAGCAAACATCAACTACTTTCAACTGTTGATCGAGAATCCGGAGCTAATTAACGAGTTCCTTTTTTATATATATATAATTATCATTATTTGATTTATTAATCAATTAATTTAAATCGGATAATACAGAGGCAGATGTGACCTTTTCAATCCAATCCATTCGCAAGCATTAGAATTTGAACATTTGACCTTGCTTAAAAGATCTAATGTCTCATCTCACTAGACCAACTAGTTATTTTAATAATACTAATATTAGAAAAAAAAATAGAGAGAAGGATTATATGTTCCATTCACGAGGATGAAAATTTGGAAAATAGTGAATTTTGTAAAATATTTTATTAGAAAATACAATATATATTTAACTTTGAGCATAACGTATGTCAGGAGTTATGAGTATTCATTATTAAATGTTTAAAATTATTTTAACATATATTATCTTGTATTTACTATAGGTTATTTGAAATAAAAACTTTTTATAATTTTTGTTTCAACAAGAAAATTCAAAAAATGGAAAAAATAATGATTAAATGAGAAAGATGAAAGAATGTAATGATAAAGGTTTAGTTTATTTTTTTATTAATGCCTATTTGAAAAAAAATTAATTTTGGAAATAAGTACAAAAGTATCATTATTTGAGAACTAAAATTTAAAAATACCATAATATTAAAAAGAAGTCTAGTATAAAAGACTCAAGTCTTTAGTTGATACTATTAAAAAATGTTTTTAATTGATACTATTTTTGAATTTGATTCTTAGATAATTTTAACCCTTTCTATGTACAATAACAACAATAATCATTATCATTAGGAATTTATAAATAAGATAAAAGAGTAACATCTATCTTTATAGATGAAAGAAATACAAATTTAATATAAATATAGAGATTATAAAAAACTATAAATATATGATATTTAGTGTACATAAAATTCGATATATGTACTCAAATTTAATACATCCTAAAATATTCTTTCAACATCCTTACGAACACATCTCTACAATGTAAATCTAAGTTGTAGAGACCACAAAATGATTGCATATCGTCAGAATAATTCTCATCATAAAAAAGGTTAAACTATCTTTATTTATATAGTTAAAGACTTGATCAACAGTAATCCTTATTTCATAAAAATTATTACTTAAATAAACTTAATCATTATTCTCAAGTAATATTTAACTATTAGAATTATAATAAAATTCAATTTAGTTATTGATTAGAATTTGAACCAATATCTAATTAATTAATAATAATGATAATGACAATAATGAGTTATATCCTGCATTTATCTATACTATCATTAAATATTTAAGTTAATGTCACATATGAATTTGATATAAATTCAATTATAAAATTATTCTTTATTAATAAGAAATATTATTATAATAATAAATTTATCTTCTATATATTTATTTAATATTTTAAGTAAAAAACTATCAACTTATATTTAAACATAATATTAATATATAATAAAAAATATTGGTATAATTACTGGTTGTCAACTTATATATCGACTAATCCGGATCATGTATTGCAGGGGCGAGGGTAATCCTCCCAACCCAATTTTATTCATTCGTAAATGACATGATTCGAACTCCTAACCTTACTCAAGGAATCTAGTACATCGTCCCACTAGACTAATCGATTATTGGTTTATATAATAAAACTTTCTGTAATACTTTTATAAAATGTTTTTATTTACTTATATCTCAAATACCACAAAATTTATTTATTTTTATTTCGGGATTTTTGCAAAAAAGAATCATGTCACCTTCTGCAACACTTTCAAACACCCATGCTTAAAACCCGCGTTATCATGTGCTCTCCTACCTGTCCCTCACCTGCTTTCTCCCTATATATTTACCATCCACCCCAATAACCTACTTCTCTCGCTTTCTCTTTAATATTTTTCATCTTTCCTACCTGATTTGTTCTTCTCCTTTGCTTCACATCTGAAAATGGGTAATTGCTTTACGAGCAACAAAATCGTATCAGAACAGGATGACCCTCAAAGCCGCATCAACGAAGCTAATGAAGCCATCAAAGAAACGGGAAATAGTACAATTTCCAACATGGAAGGAGCTGCCGAGGGATCTGATGGGGTTAACATGAAGATGAAGAAGGTGGTGAGGTTCAAATTAAACGACGATGGATCGGGCGAAGAAACCGAGTCCAAGAATGGGGCTGTGAGAATAAGACTTGTGGTGACTCAGGAAGAGTTGAAGCAGATTATTTTGAGTTCTGGGAAAGATTTGAAGCAGCCTTCAATGGAGCAGTTGACGAGAGTTTTGAAACTGAGAGGTGCTAGGGTTTCTGGAGATGGAAGAAGAAGCGATGGTGGTGAGTTTCTTGGAGGTTGGAGGCCGGCATTGGAGAGTATTCCGGAGGAACATTAACAAATATATATATGAAACTGTGTTGTTTAACTTACTGTAGTTTTTTGTCCTCATTAACTCATCTTCCTTATTGTAAAGAAACGCTTTGATTGTATGTTGTGAGACTGAATTTTTAATGTCGTTTTGGTTCTTGTTGTTTTGTGTGTGAATCCCATAGTTGAATAATTGCCATGTTTCCAGAAGACCTCCATATCCAAATAGATATCAATCAATTATGAAAAAGGTTAATTATATCACATGTCCTCAGATTATGATCTTCATTCTAAATTAGTCACTAAACTTTGAATATTCTAATTTCATCTCCAAGCTATGACTCTAGTTCTAAATTAGTTCTCAAACTTTTGAATATTTCAATTCTATCCCCAAATCATGATCCTTATTCTAATTGGTCCTCAAATTTTTGAATCTTCCAATTTCATATAATAATATATCTTGGCCTAACAGTTTTGTTAACATAGGATGTGATTAGTATATAACATATCGATAGTTTGTGATAAAATTGAAATATTCAAAAGTTAGGAAACCAATTTAGAATGAGAGTTATAGTTTGGAGATGAAATTGGAATTTCAAAAGTTTGAGGACTAATTTAGAATGAGACATAATTTGGGCATAAAATTAGAATATTTAAATGTTTAGGGATCAATTTAGAATGAAAGTCATATCATAAGGATGTGTGATGCAATTAACTCATTATAAAATTATATCACTTTTATAAAACTTTAGAAAAAAAATTAGAATTTATGAATCATAAAATGAATATGAAAATAATTATTATTTATTTTTAAAAAATATGTTTATAAGTCTTACAGATCGAAGTTTGAGATTATGAGATGGTAGCTTTACTACTAAATTCAATAAGTTGATTAATTAGAAGACTTTAGAAAGGTTGATGCCAATTAAGGAGGCAAGGCTCCTAAGATTAAGGATAATTATTTAATAAGACTAGTAATAAGCAGCAAAATGAAAGTAAAAATGAAGTTTTATTTTTATTTTTATAATTATGAGGTAAATATAAGGTAATATATGTTCAAATACTCGATCATTTGATAATGAACGCTCATATTTCTACATATGTAATGTTTGAATCTGGGACTTCAAAAGATAATAATAATCCCTTAATCACCGAAGTCGTTTGACTCATCAAATTTCTTACAATATGTCTTGACTAATTCGGACCGATCAGGGTCGTATACCTGACTTGATTGGTGAGTCACCCAATGGGGATTTTCTGCATACACAAGAATTCCAACTCGAGACTTGCTTAAACGATATATGCATAAATTTTAAGATTGTATATTTATATTTTATTTTGTAAAGTTCAAATCAAAATTTTGGCCACGCTAAATTTGAGTATTATTATATTAATCATAATTAATTAAATTATTCATGAATATTTAATTCGGTTAAATATAAAAATTTAGTAAGTTTGAAAATTATAAAATAAAAACATATATACGAATTTAAATCTATTATACGAAATTAATCACATCTTTGGTCACTCACAAACTCCTCCGTAAATAAAAGGGAATTAGAGTTATGAATGAACCTTAACATTGTTTGCCTAACATGCTCATATTGAATGATTCAATCAAAATTCTCATAAAAATTTAATAAATTAAACTAACTCAATTTGTTTACCTAATTATTCGTGTTTGAATTATAATATTATTAACAAAATAATTTGAATTGGAAGACTCATCTCTTAATAAATCTCTACAAAATTATGATTTAAATTAATTGACCAATGGAATTTTAGATTTTTTATAAATAAAATTATTATAATTTATATAATAATTTTTCAGAATTTTAAATTTTATATAATCATACTTTCATATACTATTTTATTATTTTTTAAAATTATTTTCATTTTTCTATATTTTTAAGGATTCTTTTTATAATTATTACATTTATTTTTAATTATTTATATTTGAAATATTTTACATATTTTTTAAAGAATTTTCAAATTCTCCATAATTTAAGGATTTCATTACAACTTTTAGAGTTATTTATGATTTGAATATATATTTATACTTTTTATATTTTTAAAAAATATTTTAAAAATTATTAAAAAAAATAGATTTCAATATCCATTATAAGGCGTGGATCTACGATTACTACAAAATTAAGATGTGATTTCATGCAAGGATTTACTTAATTATCGTCTATTCGAGAGGCTAATAAATCCTAGAAAAAGAAGGATTTAATCCTCTACCTAAGGCATCCATGATTCTGTAACCTCAAGCTTTGCTTCATTCGAATATATATATATATAAACATAAGAAGTTAATAATGTACATGGTGTTAGCACAAGTGGTTAAAATACATGAATTTGAGCTTGTAAGATCAAATTCGAATCCTACCACCGTCATTTTTTGTAGGCAATCTGTAAATTCCTATGTAAATTTCAATAGAGTCTTAGGTATACCCTGACCCTGGACTGGGAGAATCACCATTGACTTAAACTTTTATGTACTAAAAAAATTAGAAGTTAATAATCACATAATCATTAGTTTAATTAATATCATTATTGTTGTAATATCATAAGAATATAAAATAGTTTAGTTTCAAAAATTATAATTCATATATCAAATATATATATAAATAAAAGAGATTAATAAATATTTTATTATAAATTAATAACGATATCATAACATAACATTTTAAAATTCAATCACAAAAATAAAAATTTATCCGAGCTTTAATGACTATTGAAGGTAGTTTACATATTACAAGAAAAGCAATTAGCAGATTTTGGCTTGCCCGTCTAAACGACGCGTTTCAATATCATCGCCGCTTTCCTTAAAACATAGACGGTCGGTGCGTGGTCTATGCGTACTGCGGAGTGTACAAGCGAAGAACCATATTGAAGCTTAACAATGGCGGAACCTAAAACCAAATACGATCGCCAGCTCAGGTAAGCTCTCTTTTTTGTTCATTATTTTTTGTTATTTTTTTCTTTGTAAGATTTTCTTTTTTTCCCAGAAGAAATTAGAAATTGTTAGAAGAATTCACGTCTTAATAGATTTCTCCTCCCGAATAATTTTATTTTCTTTAAATAAATGGTAGGATATGGGGTGAAAAAGGGCAAGCAGCTCTCGAGAAAGCGAGCATATGCTTATTAAATTGTGGCCGAATGGTTCTGAGACTTTGAAGAATCTTGTTCTTGGTGGTGTTGGGAGCATTACTATACTCGATGGATCTAAGGTTGAATTTGGTGACCTTGGAAACAATTTTATGGGTAGGTTTCAGTATGGTTTCCCCTTTTCATTTTCTGGTTATTTAATGTCCTTTTTTTGGGGTGGGGGGGGGGTTGTAATAATCTTATCTTCTAATTTTGGGAATTGTTCTGTAATAGTGGATGATTCAAGCCTTGGTCAGTCAAAGGCCAAATGTGTTTGCTCATTCCTCCAAGAGCTGAATGATGCTGTTAAAGCGAAGTTTATTGAAGAGTATCCTGAGGCTTTAATAGACACCAATCCATCTTTCTTTTCTCAATTTACCTTGGTTGTAGCCACTCAGGTAAGGAATCATCCCATTCCTTAACTTCACCTATGAACTTAACTGTTAGCTGCCATTTTTAGACCACTAACTAATAGTTACTTAAAAAGTTTTTTGTTCATAGTTTAAGTCTGGTTTAATTGTTGTCTACGTACACAAAGAGAATTTGGAATTCTGTGAATTTGTTTGTAACTTTGTGTTGCTTTGTTTCTTAAAAGAATCATCTGGTTTTATGTTTCCTTATCTTATGAATCTTCCCTTTTAACTATGTTGTTGTTTCAGTTGGTGGAAGAATCTATGGTGAAGCTTGATAGAATCTGTGGACAAGAAAATGTGATGTTGATTTTTGCTCGCTCCTATGGCCTAACAGGTTTAGTTCGAATCAGTGTGAAGGTAACATGTTATGGTCTATTTTTTTGCATTTTCATCCTATGTATCAGTTGTTATGGCAATGATAACTCACTGATATAGCTTGATATCAGCAGGAACAAATCTTGAATTTCTATTGAACAATAAAAAATGGATGGTTATTCGATATTTTTCAAGAGTTTAATATTTAGACAACAAAAAATGTAAAATGTATTAAAATGATGTTCATGTTTTGCTCGTAGCAGCAACACACTGTAATTGAGTCAAAGCCTGACCATTTTCTAGATGACCTTCGGTTAAATAACCCATGGCCTGAGTTGAGAGGGTATCGATCTTTTACTTCTTTTCTTGTGGATGGTTTGATTTCTCAATTTTCTATAAGCTTGCACTATTATGTATTTCTAATGTCAAATTAACTGTTAAAACATCTTTGAGCTTAGATAGAACGTTCATTGTATTTTTCTATTTTGGATGCCAAAACTCATCTCCCGAAAATCATGTAATCTCCCCTCTTATGGTACATGGTCAAATTTTTTGTACTTGGTGGGGGAGCTAAGTAGATAATTTTCCATAATGTTGGGATTAAACCACACCTTTGGTGTGTCCCAAGGATTTCTATAATTCTTTGAATGGTGTTCCTTAATTTTTTTAACTCTATTGTGCTCTTGCAAAATGTTTGAGTATTCTCTGAACTCTAAGCAGTAAGCTCATATCCTTTGTTTTCCACAATAGGTTTGCTGAAGCTATTGACCTAAATGTGCAAGATCCTGTTGCTCATAAACACATACCATATGTTGTCATCCTTGTTAAGATGGCCGATGAGCGGAAAACTAGCCATGGAGGTACTCTACCATCAACCAGGGAAGCGAAAAGAGAGTTCAAGGTTCACATTTCTGTATATTTATCTGCTAGATTTTATTTCTTCTGATTTATGTCTGATATTTAGGTTTAATCCTTGGACATTTTAGGAACTTCTCAAATCCAGGATGGCTGCAATGGATGAAGAAAACTATACAGAAGCTATTGATGCCTCCTTTAAAGTGTTTGCTCCTCAAGGAATCAGTAAGTTTGTCTTAGCAGAGTCATAAGTCAAACTCTTTGGATGGTTAAAGGATTTATGTTGAAATCATTTTGTCTTTTATGAGAAATGAAATGAAAAACTTATTTGGTTTAGAGAAGATGCCCTGACTTCTATAGCCTTGGACCTTGA